AAAAAAAAAAAAAAAAAGAAAAAAGAAAAAAGAAAAAAGAAAAAGAAAGAAAGAAAAACCAAGGATTAAAAAGGTTGCATCTGACCACTGACCATCTCCCCGGCCCCAACAAAAAAAGAATTTTTCTGAAAATATTTATTAACAAGGAAGTTAAAGGCCTTTAACCACTCGGCACAGATCATCATGAAACAAAGAGATACTAATGCTATACAAAGAAGAATTTAGTAAGTGAAAGACAGGAACAGTTACCAGACCAGTATTCAGATGCTATTTTCAAAGAATTATGGCCAACTTATTTGCAGTTTGTGTAAAACATATAGGTGTACACCACAACAATTACTCTCATTCTGAGTGAATTTCTATGGCTCTTACACTATTTTTCAAAGTGGTATTAATGGTTCTGTTATCTCAGGGGTTGCAGAGAAACACACTTGCAATAGAGCAGGTGCTCAAAGCTCTCTCCAATGCCTTTGCACTAGTCAAGGCTGGATTTCTCTCTTGCCTGTGGGAGGAGTTAACTAGAGCAGAAATAAAGGGATTATAAGGAGCTGTACAGGTGGGGGGCAAGACAAGCCCAAGCCCAAGTACTGAGTGAATACTGGCAAAGTGTCCATGCCATTGAGACTCAGGTGGCTTGAAGACTGAGACCTAAACTCTTCCTCTTATTCAGCAGCAGGGCATATCTCACTACTGCTTGCTCACTGCACCTGTACAAGCAGAGGCTGTATCACATATCATGCAAGAACATACTCAGAGGCAAACAATCAGCTGCATAAGTCCCAACATTTCATTCTCATTTCTCTCTCTTCTTTTCATGTATTTAGTACAGGGTCTACATGGTCTCACTGCACAGATCGGACTCAGCAATCCTCCTGTTTTCAGCCTCCCAAATGCTGAGATCACAGGTGCACCACCACACCCAGTCTTAATCACCCTCTCAGCAAGCCCTGCAGGCAGGGCTGACACTGCACTCCAGGGGAACCTGGTCCCTGCGCCTCCCTAAGCAGGCACTTTACTCAGCTGAACTATCAGGCCACATTCTTATTGCTCTTAACTATTAAGAAAACAAGGGCCGGGAGACAGCTCAGTAGAATAAGCTCTTGCCTGGCAAGCACAAGGGCCTGAGTTCAATCCCCGGTTCCACCAAAAAAAAGAAAAAAAAAAAAAAAAAAAAAAAGAAACTGAGCAAGACAGAACTGCTCATTTATTATACACTTACCAGAATTCTGGATCCTCCATGTTTTTACAAACTGAGTATCAGGAGGTATCGACTCCCCTTCGCCTATGGTGACATCTTCAACAAAGGACATAGAGGGTACACTGATGTTTGGGCTCTCAAAGTCATAATAGGCGCCAATTGCTGCTTGTAAGTTCCTGCCAAAAAAAAAAAAAAAAAAAAGGCCACAAACTTGAGTCCTGTCCAAAGTATATTATATTAATTGTCCAGCCAAAGGAAAAGCTGATTTATTAGGGTTTGTGCATCATCTGACACTCCTCCTATGGAAAGTCCACTGATTCTGACTGAGGAGCCACAGGAAAAGGGACCTGCATACCCATGTTTATAGAAGCATAATTCCTAATAGTTAGATCTTACAAACAGCCTATATGTGCACAAAGAAAATGTAGCACATACACACAATGGGGTACTACTCTGCCATAATGAAGGATAAACACCAGAGGCATCTGTAGGTCAGTGGATATACCTCAAGACCATCATCTTAAACCAGACACGTAGGTTTAAATACCAGATGATTTGTCTTGTGAGAAACCCAAAACATAAATGAAGGGCAAAATAAAAGATAAAATAGGAAGATCTTTTTCAAAGGGGAAGGGGAAAAACAAAACAAAGAGGAAGGGGAACATGAAATGGAAAGAGGGAAGAGAAAAAGAATTTCAAAGAGAGGATCAAATAAAATAAGTTTTTCAAAAGGGAGGGAGAGACACCAGGTGTGGTGGCACAGATCTGTAGTCCCAGCACCTGGGAGGCTGAGGCAGAAGGATTGCTACAAGAAGTTAAAAGCCAGTTTGAAATGTGTAGTGAGACTCAAAAAAAAAAAAAACAAAAAAACAAAAAACCACTGGCAAGTGCAAGGTCCTGAGTTCAATCCTTGGTACCACAAAAAAAAAAAAAAAAAAAAAAAAGAGGGAATGAGGAATTGAAGAGAACAGGAAGTGATGCAAGGGAAAGGAACAAAAACAAATTTAAGATGTGTTATATACATGTACAAATTCACCACAATAAGTGTAACATAATCATTATATACTGTAAACGTACTAATTTTAAAAGTACACAAAGAAACTAGGAAAAAGTATCAGGACCAATGAACTTATGCAACTTGTGTATCACTTTCTTCCCAAGGTCCCCACACTGGAAGTAACAAACAAATCATGCTATCAGCAAAAAAATATGAGGAAATGTGTTCCCAACAAGGATAGCAAGAAATGGAGAAGCAGCCAATGAACAAAGTTCCTCTGGCCAGGTGTGGCAGTAACAGGACACACTTGTAATCCTGCACCTGGGAGGCTGAGGCAAGAGGATCAGCTCAAATTCGAGGCCAGCCTGGGTAATTTAGGGAGTTGAAGGCCAGCCTGAGCCACACTGCTGGACCCTGTCTCAAAACAAAAAAATTAAGAGAGAGCACCTCTGTAACTGACTGTGGGCCTCAGGGAGTAGCTCCGTGGTTAGGGTGCTTGCCCTAGCATTTTCAGGACCCTAGACTCAATCTTTGACTCCATATGGAAATGAAGTGACTGTAGAATTCAAAGAAGCTCCACTTTTTAAAATATTCTGATTATTATTCCTTTTTTTTGGACAGGTCTTGCTATGTAGTCCCAGATGGCCTTAATTCACTAGGGAGCCCAAATGGGCTTCATTCTGCCCAGATCCTCCTGCCTCAGCCTCCTGAGCACTGGGATGACAGATGTGTCCATGGTCAACTAATTTATTTATTTATTTATTTATTTATTTATTTATTTTGTATTTTAGGGAACAGTCTACAGAGTATTCAGGGTCTCACTACTAGATCAGACTCATAGTGATCCACCTGTTGACAGCCTCCCAAGAGCTGGGATTATAGGCAGGTGCCACCCTGCCCAGTCCCTAATTAACTTTTTAAAAATCAGCACATGGCTCCAATTTTTGTGCAATGAAAAAATTACCATATTATTTCTTCTTCCCTCAACACACACACACACACACACACACACACAGATTAATAGCTATTCATATTAATTTCTTATAGATCTTCTGGTTTCCTTAGGCACACACAAGTAAATACATAATTTGTATCTTCCTCTTTTTACACAATTTGTGTCCTAGAATATAACACCCTTCACTTTACTCCCTTAACACTGTCTTTTCTTTTTTATTTTCTTCTGGTACAAGTGACTGGATCTAGAACCTTGTGCAATACCCTCCCAGGATTTTTTTAAATTTGAAGACAGGGTATTACTGTCTCCAAACAGACAGTAGCTAAGTAGCTCAGGCTGGGGTCAAACATGTTATCCTCCTGCCTCAGCCTTCTGCTACTGAGATAATAGGCATGTGGCTCCAACGCCTGGTTTAACAATGTCTTGAAGATATCTGTCAGTACACAGCGCACTCACAATTTCTTGCAACTGTATTCACTGTATAGCTGTATAACTATACATTTAACCAGGAGACTTTCAAGTATTCCCAGTCTCCATCTCTTCCCTAAACATATTTAGGCCCACAATATTTCACACACATGCACCTATAAGCAGTATGCACTGTTTGACAGTGACTGTGACTTCCACCGACACATCTATGTGTCTCTCAGTGAAACTGCACAGTAATGCTTTTATCAACAATATATGAGAGTGCCAATTTTCCCACTTGTTCATTTACAGTATTTCTTTAATATTTTGGATCTCTCCCAGTCTGACAAAAAATTTCAGTGAGATCTTAACATGCTTTCCTTAGGGAGTGTGGTTTAGTGATGAGACGCTGCTCAGCATGCATGAAGTGGAGTTCAATTTCCAGCACCCCCAACCAAAGCAGCTTGTTACTTTAATAAGACAGCAAATATTTTTACATGTTGAAGAACTTTTTGTAGTTTTTGTTTTGGTGAAACTATTGTGTAAATTGTAAATATTGCTATTCCATTTAATTACTTACAAACTCCCTTTTTGTCCAAAAGTAACTACTAAGCACATAAACTGGTGTCTTCACAAAAGAATAGAATCACATCGTTGGCAGCTGGATTCACCAGTGCCAAAAACCAAAGGCCACAAAGGCTGCTTAAACTCTGTTCATTACAGAGATCAAAGAAATGTTTGCTAATTACATTAACAGCTTCTCTTCTGGTCTTACTCAAATCAGTGACATCATCTCGAGTGTTCACAGCAGACAGCAACCCAAACTGCACGTTTCTAAACATAACCCGACCATAAGCCAAAGGATCCAGTGGGCTGTTTTTAATTATGCATAAATACGGCATGAAACAAGCTCTGACAGTACACAACTGTTCAACAGACAGGCTATTAACAGCAAACACTTCTCTGCTAGGGCCCCGCCTGCTCTTCCAGGTGTTTGTAGCTGCCAAAAAGGAAGCCTATATTTAGAGCCCTTTCCTCAGGTCAAGCCTCAAGCCTGTCATATTAGTCAGTGAGACTAGAATGACGCCAGGTCTGCCTACCAACCACTGCTCCCAGTGAAGGCTTGTGTCCTACCTAGCCAGCTCTCATGCAGAGAGGATATGAGACTGGTCAAACTAGAAAGTCCAGCCCCCACCATCCACTCAGAAGTGCTATCCATCTGGAACTAGATTTACCCTTCAGGATTAGGGATTTTTTAAAAAGAGAACAGCAATCAAAGGAGAGAAAAATAAGCCTAGTTAGCAATTAGTTCTTTGGAAAACATTTTGTGGAAGTTGTTGACCTTTTGTAAAGATAATAGTAGCTTCCTGAATTGTTTTCTGTTCACTTGGCTGTAAAATATGCTTGGGAAAGAATAAGCCATTTGTGCACTCAGGACAACTGCCAATTCTCATCCCAGCCTGTGTCATATTTCACCCCTAGGCTCTGCTACCAGGGCAGGACTTCAAGACCACTAACAAGTGGAAAAGTCAAGCTACCCTAAGTAGGCGGATCCATCCTCCTCATGTCTCCTTTCACACATTCCAATTTATCCCAGTTCAAGTCCTTATAAAACTCCTGATTTATACCTGTCTACAGGTAATTCAAGCCAAAGAGAAAAAATTTAAAAGCCCAAATTGAAACTGAAAGTAGTGAATAGGAAACCTAGCAGGAAGCTGAAGGGGAGGATGACAAGGCAAATTTATTTCCTAAGCACAAGACAGAGAGCAGGCGGTAGCCTGGTGGTGCTCTAGCCCAGTGGGCAGGTGTACAACTTCTGGGCTGATCTCTTAAATCACCACTCCACTGGGCCAGCAGCAGCAGGAATGGACCAAAAGCTCCAATTTGTTGTCAGAAAAGTTGTCACAATAAAAGGTAGTCCAGGGGGCCCAGGAGATGGCTCAGTGGAATAAGCGCTTCCCTGGCAAGTGCAAGAGCCTGAGTTCAATTGCCGGTTCCGCCAAAAAAAAATTTAAAATTAAAAAAAAACCTGAAAAGGTAGTCCAGTTCAAAACAGAACACTCAGCTGTGATTACCTAACAAGAAATTCTACATAAAACAGGGCCAGCTGAAGTTATGGGAAAGAAAAACACATTTGACCCCCCAAGTGTGCCTGTTAGTCTGAAAACTTAAAACTTGATTTTTCTGTCAAGTTACTCTGAAAACTTAAACTTGGTTTTCCAATCTGATTTCAGATAGCTAAAATGGATGGGAGTGATCACAGCATTGTGCATACATTTAGTGTCATAGCACTGTACACAAAATGGTCAATGTGCTAAGTTTTATGTTCTATAACTACTACCACAATATTTAAAATATTTTCTTTCAACTTTTGGGGGTTTTTTGTACCAGGAATCAAGGCCTTAGGGCCGGGAAGATAGCTCAGTAGAATAAACACTTGCCTGGCAAGCACAAAGTCCCGAGTTCAATCCCTGGTACCGGGAAAAAAAAAAAAGGGGGGGGGGGATCAGGGCCTTGCAACTTGCCAGGCAGGTGATTGTGCCACTGAGCTGTATCACCTGCCCCAAACATTCTTTAAAGTGAATATTTGTCTTTTAAGTCAACTATCCTTGGCTATGTGGCTCTGGGTGAGTGGCTAAGCTTCTAAAGAAAACCGAGGGAGAGTTTCACTCTCTTGCAAAACTGAGGCAAAGCACTTTATCACAAAGCTGGCTGTGGGGCCGGGGAGATGGCTCAGTGGAATAAGTGCTTTCCTGGCAAGCACAAGAGCCCAGAGTTCAATGGGGGGGGGGGGGGAGGGGGAGGAAGGCAGCTGG